TGAAAGCTTGCGACAAGTATACTGTGCATTTTGGTTGGCCAATAAAGGGATCCGCGATGGATTTTTGTTTGAACTCTACAGTATGTGTAGAGTTCAAAGTTCTTTGTTGTTGTTGTGCGCCTCCAAGTTATTTTTGACTTATAGCAACCCTAAGAGTTTCATAGGGTTTTCTTGGCAAGTTTCTTCAGAGGGGGTTTGACATTGCCATCCTCTGAAGCTGAGAGAGGGTGGCTTGCCCAAGGTCAGCCAGTGGGTTTAATACTTTGCTTAACATACCTCCCTGCACTCATTTTTGGCACAAAGAGTTGCTTCCACGTCTTAGCCATTGTACACATGCACACAAGCAAGCCTTGGGGTCCTCTGAGGCTGAGAGAGTATGACTTGCCCAAGGTCACCCAGTGGGTTTTTATGCTCGAGCGGGTAATTGAATCCAGATCTCCAGAGTCATGATCCAACACTCAAACCACTACACCACACTGCTGTCGCTACCCTTTGCTTAACAATCATTCTTCTGCGTCTCCCTTTCCTTTTGAGAAGCAGTCCCTCTAAAGCAAGTCACACTCTCTCAGCCTCAGAGGAAAGCAATGACAAACTTCTTCTGAACAAATCTTGACATAATAGGGTCACCATAAGTTGGAAACGACTTGAAGGGACACAACACACACACACACTAAAACCACTTTATTTCAGATATGTCATGTGATTCATTAAGGAAGGGGAAATTAATTTAATTTAAAATTAATTTAAAAAGCATTTCTTTTTAAAAAAAGTATTTTTTTTTAAAAAAAAGTAACTAAAGTGAAATCAGTGCTAAATATTGGCTGGCCTGTCAGCTTATCGCTAGAACCATGATGCCCAAATGACCATTTCACTGCTTTTTCCCTCTGAATGACACAGATATATAGATATGGATATATATTTACTATCCACAGCTGTCCGGCTTGGACACGCCTCCCTTTGTTGCGATTGGCTCCGAACGCGGAAGGACCGAGCGTTCTCTATGGCTGCGTCTTCTCCAATCCGAGGCCCTTCCGCGCGTGACGGACACTTCACGGGCCTCCAATAGGAGCGAGCCCAGGGGTGGGCCGGCCAGCGGCTGGACGTGCCCTATAAAAGGCCGGACAGCGCACTCCGACTCCATTCGGGCCGGAGGCGAGGCGGCGGCGAGGGGTGGAGAGAGAGGAGAGGAAGAGAGGCAGGAGGAAAGGGAGAGCTATTGAGAAACCGCGGCAGCCTTTCTCTTCCAGACACGCACGCACGCACACACACACACACACACACACACACACACACACACACACACACACACACACACACACTCTTCCTTGGGTGCTTGAGTGTGTTGTGCTTTTTCTTTTACACACAACCTTTGTGTGGTCCTTTTCCCACACACACACACACACACACTTGTCTGGTTGAGTGTGTCGTAGTTTTTCTTTTACACACACAGACAGAGACCTTGTGTGTTGTGCTTTTCCTGCACACACACGGGTCTTTTGTAGACACACAGCTCCTTTGTTGTGTGTTCTTCACACAACTTTGCTGTGTGTGTTTTGTTTTTCTTTTACACACACACACACACAACTTGTCTGCTTGAGTGTGTCGGACTTTCCTTTTACACACACAGACCTTGTGTGTTGTTGTGCTTGTCTTCCATACATACACACACACACACACAACTTATTTGCTTGAGTGTGTCCTAGTTTTTCTTTCACACACACAGAGAGACCTTGTGTGTGCTCCTTTCCCTACACACACACACACACACACACACTTGTCTCCTTGAGTGTGTTGTGCTTTTTCTTTCATACACAAACACACAGAGCCCTCGGCGTAGTTGTGTTGGTGCTTTTTCTTTCCTCCACACCCAAACACACACACAGCCCTTGGCGTGGTTGTGTTGTGCCTTTCCTCCACACATACACACACACACACTTGTCTCCTTGAGTGTGTTGTGCTTTTCATACATAAACACACACAGACACAGACAGAGAGAGAAAGAAAGCCCTTGGTGTCCTTGTGTTGTGCTTTCCCTACTCACACACACACACAAAGAGGGAGTCCTCGGTGTGTTTGTGTTGTCCTTTGCCTAAACAGAGAGAGAGTTGGGGGGGGGGGGGGCTCCTCCATCTTCTCTCTCCGGCGGCGGCCCAGGGCCCTTCCTCTCCTCTTCCTCCTCGTCCTCCATTTCCTCTTCCTCTTCCTCCTTCTCCTGAGGCAGGCGTCGGTGTCTCTGTCTCTGTCGGCCATGAAGGCGCTGAGTCCCGGCCGTCCCTCTGTCCGCCGGGGCAGCCTCTCGGAGCCGGGGCACCTGGGCATCCTCTCTCGCGGCGGCGGCGGCGGCGGGAAGGCTTCTTCCGTTGGAGCCGTTGGGGCCTCGCTGCTGTCCTCCTCGTCCTCGTCCTCCTTGGAGGACCCCCTCAGCCTCCTCTACAACATGAACGACTGCTACTCGAAGCTGAAGGAGCTGGTGCCCAGCATCCCTCAGAACAAGAAGGTCAGCAAGATGGAGATCCTCCAGCACGTCATCGACTACATCCTCGACCTCCAGATCGCCCTCGACACTCACCCGGCCGCCGCCCTCGTCAGCCTCCATCACCCCAGGACGACGACCTCTCCCCAGGCGGGCAGCAACAACAACGCCGTCTCCAGGAGCCCCCTGGCCGCCCTCAACACCGACATCACCATCCTCTCCATACAGGTAAGGAAGGAAGGAAGGAAGGAAGGAGGGAGAGCCCTCACGGCCGACCGACCGTGCTTCCCCTTCCCTCAGGCCAAGGCGCCATTAAGGTCTCTGTCTCTGTGTCTCTCTCTCTCTCTCCCTCAGTGGCGCCAGTCTGTCCAGATCTCTGCCCTGTTAGCATTCCTCTGGAGATGCCTCTCTCCAGACTTTTGCAGGTGTTTCATGACTACTACTACTACTACTGCTGCTTTTATGTACAAAAAGAGACAGCTTTTTGTACATTATACTTCTTTTTTATGTACAAAAAGAGACAGCTTTTATCCCCTTATACTTCTTCTTTTGGTACAAAAAGAAGTAGCTTTTATCCCCTTCTTGTTTTTTTATGTACAGAAAGAGACAGCTTTTATCCCCTCCTTCTTTTTTATGTAAAAATAAACAGCTTTTATCCCCTTTTTCTTTTTCTTTTTTTCTTTTTTGGTCCAAAAAGAAACAGCTTTTATCCCCTTATACTTCTTCTTTTGGTACAAAAAGAAGTAGCTTTTATCCCCTTTTTATGTAAAAAGAGAAAGCTTTTCTCCCCTTTTTTTATGTACAAAAAGAGACAGCTTTTATCCCCTTCTGCCTTTTTTTTGTACAAAAAGACAGTTTTTCTCCTTTTTTTGGTACAAAAAGAGAGTTTTTCTCCCCTTTTCCTTCTTTTTTTTATATACAAAAGGACAGCTTTCATCCCCTTCTACTTTTTTATGTACAAAAAGAGACAGTTTTTCTCCCTTTCCTTTTTTTTTATGTACAAAAAGCTTTTATCCCTTTCTACTTCTTTATTTATGTACAAAAAGACACAGCTTTTATCCCCTTCTACTTCTTTTTTTTGGTACAAAAAGAGACAGCTTTCCCTTTCCTCCCCCCTTTTCTTTTTGCAAGGTGCTTAATCTAGATCCGTTTAGATCCAACTCTCTACACTTCTGGGGACTGTTATGGAAACCCTGGGATCTGTAGTTTGCCAGGGTGGGGGAGAGTACCCAAAGGCACCCCTTTCCTTTTGCAAGGTGCTGAATCCAGATCCAGTTGGATCCAGAGGTCTTTACATTTCTGGGGACTGTTATGGAAACCCTGGGGGATCTTTAGTTTTCGGGGGGGGGGGCACACTCAATTGTTTCTGCAGCCCCTAAAAGTGTGTAGCATTGTGGTAGTTCCCCCTCCATGGAGTGTTTTTGTTTGTGTTTTTGTTTTGTTGTGTATTCTCCAAGAACTTGGGTACCCCCCCAGCAAACTACAGATCCCAGGGTTTCCATAACCCTTCTTGGATGTTCTCCCCAGCAAACTACAGACCCCAGGGTTTCCATAACAATCCCCAGAAAATGTAGAGAGATCTACAGCACCTCTGAGACTAATAACCAAAAGAAAGAAGGTCCCAGGAATA